TTTAATGTTTAATTTATAATAATTTTATATGTTACTATGTGTTTATCTATGTGTTTTTATGCTCACATTACAGGAAAAATTTAGCAAAATTGGAATTTTTTTACCTGCCTTCACACTTGAAACCCCTTAAATTTTAGGTTTAAGGGTACGGAACCCTCTGTTTTAATGCGAGTGTAACTCGCACTTGTCCGATTTTTAAATAATCAATTGAAAAAATTTTGTTTTTGAAAAAAAAGACAACTCTTATATTACATGATTAAAGGAGTCTACCAAGTTTGGCTCATCTAACTTTCTAACACTCGAACAAATTGAAAGTACGTATAAATAAACAATACACCGTTATAAAGGTTTTTGTCGTCACTAATCACGAATATGTTGTCAAATTAACTGTCAACTTTGATAAAAAGTAATTTGATTTTATAAAAATGAAAGTAAATGTATTTTTAGGGTCGCTGACCACAAATTTGATGTCAAATTTACAATTTACAAATGCCGACAACAAAATAAATGCATCAGGAAGGCAAAGTGAAATATGACATAGTCCGTAAAAATTCTATGATTGAACATGTTGAGCAATCTCCAGCAAAGCATACGAGATGATCTGTCTACAACTATAAATGATTTATATATGAGAAATTATCTTATTATTAGGTTACTTAAAAGTATATCCACATATGTGTCTTTAGAAGCACGATGCCCATGTTTCATTTCCTATACTAGCGACGCAACGAAACATCCCAGGCCGCCAGAGTTTGAAGGATGGCCCAAAGTTGGCCTAACTTTGGCATCTGGAGTTACAGTTGCCAAAGCCTGCCCAACTTTGTCAGTTACATGTGGCCATAGTTGGCTGGACTTTGCAAGCCAATTATGGCAAGGGGATTTCGCCAACCTTAGCGAAACTAAGGCCAACTTTAGTCTAAAGTTGGCAAAACTTTGGGAAACGTAGTCTAAACGATTTAAAATTTTTGGTTGGCCAAACTCTGGGTGATGGTTGGCCCGCCGGTTGGCAAAACATCGGGGCACATAGTTTAAACGACTCAAAATTTTTGGTTGGCCAATCTCTGGGTGATGGCTGGCCCGCCGGTTGGCAAAACATCGGGGCACATAGTTTAAACGACTTAAAACTTTTGGTTGGCCAAACTCTGGGTGATGGTTGGCCCGACAGTTGGTAAAACTTCGGCGAACGTATTTTAAACGACTTAAAATTTTTGGTTGGACAAACTCTGGGTGAAAGTTGGCCTGACGGTTGCCAAAACTTCGGGGAATGTTGTTTAATCGACTAAAAATTTTTGGTTTGACAAACTCTGGGTGAAAGTTGGCCCGACGAAGATGTTTTTAAGTTATGTTTCTGAGTTTTAATCAAATTAAAAATGTTGACTTATATGTGAATTAATGTATTTAACATTGAAAATAATTTATAAATTACATATAATTACCATTACCACACTTTTTCAAGATAACATTATCTCGTGCTTAAATGAAGGTTTTTTTCAAATCACAACTAATTCTACATGGCAAAACCCTACTGGAAAATCTTGCATAAGTCCCAACAAGGAATCCTACAAGGATTTCATGTAAATTCATATAGGATTCTTTTTAGGAACCTATGTAGGTTCTCCAAAGAGTAAATCCTACAAGAGTTTTCCTTTTGTATTTATTATATCTTCCTACGTAGGAAACTATGAATTCCTATAGGATTCCTAAATAGGCAGATATAATTAATCCTATAGGAAAACTTCTATAGGAGGCCTATAAGAAGACATAAGGAATCCTATAGGATTTTTCCTTGTGGGAACCTAAATATGTTTCTATAAAGAATCATATAAGGATTTACATGAAATCCTTTTAGGATTCCTTGTAGAGACCTATGTAAAATTTTCCAGTAGGGAAAGTGGTGAAAATTTCACCATAAAATGGCATTTTTTCAAAACTCTGCCAAAAATTTAAATTTTTTGTCTTTTTTCTTCTTTCAAGTACAAGCTACAGGCATCTACTAACAGAAGATGTTGGTTTTTTAATTTCTGATGAATCTGTCATGACTTGTGCTGACAACGCCAAAATGAATTTCTGTCAAAAAGAAATGCAATGAAAATAGATCCAAAATCGGGTTGTGGGGGGTTTTTCTAGATCCCTTGTAGGATCAGAATATGCAAAACTTGTAATCCTAGCTGCTCCCTTTTTCGAGAAATTGACATTTTTGTGTTTTAAATGTGAATTAACGGTTTGCAATTCATTCATTTGATTTTATCAAGTAAATCTTAATTTCAAGAATTTAATATTAGCTCTATTTCACTCTTCGATCAATTTTTTATCTTCTTCTTGATACTTTATAAGTAGCAGGTTTGTCATTGATGCGTCTCCCTACTATACTTCAAAACAAAGACACTAATTACATTGAAATAACAATTTTTCCTAGAATCTATACGTGGTCACCAAACTCAATTTGTTTACCACATGGGGCATAAACTTTTTTCCGGGTCTCATCATGAGAACATTTAAAGTCAGGTCTCGCAAACTGTCTAGTCTCATAAACTGATCAAATTCTATCCTTTTCTAAATCCACAAAGGGTCTATATCCCTTCTCCATTAATGAAGACAAGTCCCACCAGAGCCGGCTCATAAAATAAGAAAGGCCCCAGGCCACTTATATTATATTATATATTCTTTTTTGCTTAGGGATTTTTGGGAAATCTGTATACAGATACCTTGGTTTCAGCATGCCAAGGTTATGTGGGGTTGTTAAAAAAGTGAACAATAAACAAAATAAGCTGGCGAACTACTACCAGTCCCGACCCACTAAAACCCGTCAACCCTTCTTGAGAGCCCTTAATCCACCCTCGGAACTGTCAGAAAGACTTTTGCCTTCGAGGGTGGCGCTCCTACTCTATCGCGAAATGACTTAGTCCATTCCTGCGGATATCCTGCGTTATCAATTTTAAAATAATAAACCTTTTTTAATGTAAAAGCAGAATTAACAGCACACCAGAAAAGAAAAACAATTAAAAGTCAATATATAAAATAAAATAAATAAAGTCAAAAATAAAATTGTAAAAAGACAAATGAACACATAAAATATAATATGAAACTGCAAAAAGACAATAAAAAACAAAATAAATAAAAAAATAAACAAATAGAACAAATAAATAAAAAAAATAGTACGTGGAGACAGTTCATTACGCCTTTCTACGGCCATCGAGATCCTTTCTCATCATAAAAGAGATAATAAAGGTCTCCATGAGCCACCAGTTTTCAAGGGACTGGATCATCAGCGCTACCATGTTCTCTGGTGAAACTGTAGCGTTTACACCGGTGAACATGGCCTACCTCTCTAAGTCCCATCTGCTGCAGGCAAAGAGGGTGTGCTCTGCGTTGTCCACAGGAAACTGGCAGTAAGCACGCTCCTCATTATCCTTTTTCTTAAAACGCTGCAGGTACGAGTTAAAACACCCGTGACCTGTCAGAGCTTAATTCAAATAGTAGGAGATCTCTCTATTGTTCCTACTTAACTAGGTGGCGAGTGTCGGTATAAGGCGATAAGTCCATCGACCTTTTATAAAAATAATTTATTAAATTAATACTAATAAACAATAATTTTATGATAATTATTCAGTTGTAACATGATCTTTTATAAAAATTATAAATAAAATATGAAAGAAAAAAAATTCTTTACTGGAGGTTCATATTTAGTATACTACACTGAATTTCCCACCACCATACCACTAGGACGTGGTTTAGCTGGAAAGACACTTACCGAGACGCCAGGTCCCGAGCTCGGACACTTTGTGAGACCTGACTGTATTTCGAAAGCTCATATTGAGCAAAAGTCTACTTGATTGACCAAGTATAGTTTCTAGGAAAATGGTTATTTCAATGTAAGTAGTAACTTTGTTTGAAGTATAGTAGTGAGACGCACTAATTCCCAGTTAACAAAAAACATATTCGTTCCAAAACCGTTTTTAAAACGTTTTGAGAACGTTTCATGTCAGCCAAAAAATGTTCCAGAACATTATTTAAACATCCATTTTCTTAAAATGTTTTAGAACATTAATTGGCGGACAGGAAACCTTTTAAAAACGTTTTAAGAACGATTTTGAACGAACATGGTTTTTTCCCATTGTGTTACAAGTCATTTCTGAGTTCAGTTGGTTATACAATCAAAACAATTGCCCCAGTAAGAAGTCTGGAATTGAAAAATGTTATTCCATTTGATTAGGAAAATTTGCTCTTTTTAATTCTACGCATAGAATACAAATTTATAAATTTAAGTCATGCACACGGAGAAAAGTACATGATCTAAGACCTCCCGCTATAGACGTAGCACTGCGCTACTCTGTTTATGCGCTAGAGTCGTCTCGTAGTCGGGAGCTGAGACGCCCTAATTGCGTTGTCAAACATTGCTCCCGTATAGCTCGCAAACTACTAACCACGAAAAATACTTCTCAAGGCTGGCACGGGAAGTCTTAGCTCCCGATCTTCTCTCCGTGCAGAAATCGAGATATTCTACTTTATCTACACTTCTTCAGTAGTAACATTCAACGATAACATATTATAATATTAACAATACATACATATAACCTAACATAAATAGAAACATTATACTTTCTACTGAACACAGAGAAATTGTTTGGGATTAAATTTTTTCAGTTTCTATTCCCGTTTGATGATTAAAAAGTCTTCTAGTTCAAACATAATTTAACAAAACTTTTTGAAATTAAAACTTTATGAAATGTATTCCATTAATTGAATACAATTGTATTTTGGAATAAAAAAGAATTACTTTTTCCAATATTCTATCCCATTTTACAGGGATTAAAAAAAGAGGGAATATTTCAGATTAAATAAATGGAATGGCAAAATTTTAAAGAGAAAATATATATGATAATTTAAATGTCATTCTATTCTTGTACATGTTCTCATCAGAACAGGTACAAGATCTTGTACAGGAATTTTCATTAGGGTTCCAGCCTTCTTACCGGGGTTATACGTTTTAGAAACCTTACCAAATAACAAATTAGATATTTATAATAATCCTTAAGCATTCCAAATTTCTTCCCTTCAATCAAAACTTTCTCTAAATTTGTTGGATTTAGATCTAGTAAAAGATTCCAGTCAGTAGAATTCGAAATTTCTTTCAATAGAGGCAAATAATCATGATCTTCGCTTATATGACGAATTGTAATAGGAGAATCTAGCGGCCCATGTAGTTGAAGAACATCTTGTATTCGAATTAAAGCATCATCTGTGTCATAAATTACTGTAAATGATTTCCAACTCAACGACTTTAGTACATCAGCAATTGCCTGTAAATATAATATTATTCTTAAGCTGTTTATATTTTAAAAATAAGTATTGTTTATTTAATTCAAGTAAAATCTTCATTTTATAATAATAGGAGTTTCATTCGTGGTCAGGACATCTAATGAGCTGATTTTCTATATAATCGTATACGTATTTGGAATAGGAATTTGGAAAGGAAAAAAAATAGAAATTATCATGTAAATAGGATTCATAATAATAACTTTATAAAAACCTATATACAGGAAAAATATAGCAAATACGACTAGAGCCGATAATCATATGGTGTTGAGAAATAACCGAAAATTTTCAAAAAAACTAAGTTTTATTAATCTTTACTACACGGAAAAACAGGAGCTGAGATTGTAGTAAAAATAGTTAATAGTAATAATTAGAGGAGATGTATACACTTAGTAAGAAGTGAGAAATTCAAAAGAATTGAAAAATTTTAACTTTCCATTAAAAAGGATAAATTATCAATTTTTTGAATTGTGTTTGTATCCAATTCCTACACTGTAAAAAAAATTCTCTGTAATTTTACATACAGAGTATGCGAGGAAAAAAACCTACAATGTGTGAGACATTTTTACAGGATCCACGTTGGGCCAGGAGACCCTTATAATTGGCCAAAAATCATATTTCCCAAAAAACAAAGAATCTTTAAATTTTCAGGGGCGTATTTATAGTTTTTGGGGTCGCTGATTATGAATCTGAAGTCAGATTTTAAAAATTCAAAATGGCGAATCCAATATGGCGGACGACAAAAAAAAATTAATAGGATTCGCGTGAAAATTGTTACTCGGGGGTTTTTGGGATCGCTGATTACGAATATGACATCAAATTTTCAAAATTCAAAATGGCGGATTCAATATGGCGGACGAATTTTTAAAAATTCAATAAATTCACTTGAAATTTGTTACTCGGGGGTCTTCGCTGTCGCTGATTACGAATCTGATATCAGATTTTAAAAATTCAAAATGGTTGATCCATTATGGCGTGTGAATTTTTGGAAATTCAATTAATTCGCTTGAAATTTGTTACTCGGGGGTTTTCGGTGTCATAGATTTCAAACCTGACGGCAGATTTTCAAAGTTGAAGATGGCGAATCCAATATCGCATATTACATTGTAAAAATCAAACGAATTTATTTGAAACTTGTTACTCGGGAGTTTTCGGGCTCGCTGAGTACTAAATCTGTAGAGACCAAGTAGCATTTTTTGAAAATCTGTCTTCAAATTAGGAATTAGTGACCCCAAAAACATTTACATATGCAACGTCATAAGAAGCCATTCAAAAATAGCTTTGGTGTCGCAAAGAGTTACTACTGTACATAACCAAACCGTGCATACAACCGTAAAAACTAATTTTTTTAAAAACTGAATTAATTTTCGCAGCAGATCGCACCTGGAGCCTATTACGCATGAACTACTGAAAACTTTTAGGCATCACAACAGTTCATATCGCGTGAAGTTTTGAGGAGCTCTCAATCGGCGTATTGACATGTAGTATTAAAAAACATAATTTGTCTCAATTTGTTCGCAGTATTTCTAATATACAATTTATTTTTACACTTATATACTATTTTTACAAATTATATGCTTCAAACTAATGAGAAAATGCATTATAACCAATGCGAAGTAATAATTTTTCGTAAAAATTGTCATTTCAGAGCAATAATCATACGGACATTGTTTAAGCCTTATTTTAAAATGAACTTACTCCACAAGCTTCAATATTTCAATAAAAGTTAAAAAACTTCTACATTAACTACTTTAACTTCTCTATTTGATATCACAATAATCCTTTTTAAAAATCTGATAATGACTTTTGGCCAAATTTTTTGGTCTCCTGGCCCACTGTGGGATCTAGTAACTGTACATTGAGGTCGATTCATATGTACATATGTGGATTCACTAGCGCCTGTAAAATTACTAAAAGTTGTAAATTTAATAAATTTAACTAATAATTGTGATTCGAAGTACCCGATGTAACAAAACGACATACGAAACGAAATTAATTAATTATAACAGATTATTAAAATAGTTGTATAGTTAACGAAATCAGGCAAAAAAATGCAAAAGTAAACAAATTTTTAAATTTAAAGAAAATTTAATTGTCGATGTATTTTTCTATTAATATGTGATTTTACAATAAAAAAATTGCTTTTTTACTTTTTATTTAGTAATTTTACAAAATTCATGATATTCACATTTTCAAAATGTAAATTAACTAAAAAATGTAACTTTACATTCGTCCATAAAATTACATATAGTGTATGCGAGGAAAAAAACCATGACACAGTAGGGCAAATTTATATTGGGACTGGAATTTTACAATCGCCATTTAAAATCGCTCTATACTGTACTGTAAGTTTACGAATCTTGTATTTCTACCCTCAAAATCATTAATATTGTCAAACTGAGTGCAGTAAAATCACATAATTCTGTAACGAAAGTTACAGAATCTTGTAATTCTACTATTATATATATGTAATAATTTACCAGTTCATTCATTCATTCCGTCCGCACCCGTGCTGTGTTTTCGGTGACAGAGAGAAGAACAAGTTATGGAGAGAGAAAGATATATCTTTATTTTGCAAATGAGGGTTTGCTTGACCTGCAATCTGTTAAAGAGGATTAAATAATAACTCTGAGGACCCAGGTAATAATTTCGTACTCCATTTATCACGTGGAAAAGTTATAAAGAAAATCTAAAACTGAATAGGGTAACGCATATCTTTATTTCTTACACCAAGGAATATAACATAAGCCCTTCTTCGTTTAATATTTCGTTTCTTTATCTAGGCTATTCAAAATGGCATAAGAATATCTTCGTCTAAAATCTTAATCTTCTTCCTTTTTGTTTTGAAAATAAAAATAAATATATATCTGTATATATGTATATACCTGTATTAGAGCTCCAGAAAATTTTATTAAAAAAAATTTTAATTATTACCTGGGTCCTCAGGGTTAATCTCATTAACAAACTCACAAAGGGTCTATTCTTTACATTTTTTCGCTATAATTTTCACGCAAAAATACATTTATACAGCAAATATGAACAGTCTGGGTTGAAAGTTTTGTGCGCTGGGGAGATTAAACCATTTTTTCGAAATTTTTTATTTTTCCTTGACAACGCTATGTAAATTGATCCGAATCAAGTTCGCTATACTTTTCATTAATTTTTACGTAAAAAAATGTAAGTGTACCAAATTTAAACTCTTTATGTCAAAAGATGTGGCCGCTAGGGGGGTACATAGTCATTTTTAGGCATTTTTCGTAAAAATTCATGGTTTTTTCTACGGTATATCTTTCAATTAAAAGAAAAATAGGTAAGGTAGCATAATTGACATATTTATTCTTTCAGATTCTTACACTTTCATTTGCAACAAGAACAATAAAAATGTTTAGATTAGTGTTGCATGTCAATCCAATAATTGCTCGATATCGACTGCATATGCTTGAATATTGATACATTTTATCAAGCCAAGAAGCGTGATTTTCTTTTGTTTATGATTGACTTTGATCGTTCGAATGTTATTTCGAAATCTCGATCAAACGTATATATTTTTTATTATAATAATAAAATACCTGTTTTTCATGGATTTTTTAAAATAAAAAAGGAAGTTAATTGTGAAAAGTAAAATGGCAGAAGATACGAACAAAACCGAAAGCAGGAAAAGAATACATGATCAGATAGATTTAGATGATGAGTAAGCAAAAGGAGCTTCTCAAAAGTATTTTATAAAAATGTTTCAATTTGAATGTCAAATTTTACATACTTTTTTCCTAATTTAATATTTTTATTAGTTTACAAATTTTAGTTTTATCAAATATTTAACTAATTTTATTGACAATTATAAAATTATTAAAATTATTAAAATGAAAAATCTTTGACCATCAGAAAACACAAGAACAGATTGGAAAATGATTCTGTAAAATATCTTATGTGCTTGAATTCGTGGATGAGTTGTTCTCTAATGTATTATGTTAAATATTACTTCGTTGAATAAAGAAAAAATAATAAATTATTTAATTTATATGATTTTGTATTTATTTTAATGAGAAAAGAATATTTTAAAAATTATATATAATTTTTAAAAAATTACAATATTTAAATTATACTAATAGTGATTGTTTTTAAGAGAAATTTTAGACATTAGAAATTTCAATTGCTTAAAAAATTTAAATAGGTTAGATAATAATAATAGTAATCACTCGAAATATTTTTAATTTCTTCAATAAAAACTATATATTTAATTACGATACATAGAAAAAATATTATTTACAATAACATAGGTTATTAACCGTTCTGTATAATGTTAAATATATTTTATATAGAAATACTACAGTTCTGTATAATTTTTAAATAAATAATGAGCGTATACTATGTGCTTGACGCATCAAAAATGCACTTTAAATATGAAATGTAGGCACAAAATATTTATTATATACATAATATTTATGTATACTGTTTATTTTTGATGGGGTTACATTCTTCTGATGTCAATTTATTATTATAATTGAATAAACAATTTCATAAACTATATTTTATTAAAGAATTTTATAAAAAATTTATAGTTTATATATAATAAATTCATTGAAATCTTCACTGCATTTCTGTATATATACATAGGTTAAGTTAAAACGGAATCAAGCAAATCTCGATCGATTTACTTAACGGGAAGCTTGTCTCTATGACACGAACCAATCAATATATTGAATAAAATTAAACAATCACCTTTCTTGAGATCGTTAATTTCTCGATTGTTTTGGTTGACATGCAACACTAGTTTAGATAGAATTGTACATAATAAAACTCACCCAAACTAGTCGAAACTTAATTTACCGCCTTAACAATAAAGCGGGCAGCAAATTATAAAAGTCTTTCGTTCAATACAAGAACACTTGCGTTGATTTTTGTTGAATCCACACTGCGATTACTCACGTAATTCTACGCGAGTGTAGAATTCTTGGTTTATTTATTTCTTATTTTTACCGATTTT